AATGTATCATATGTCGGATACAACTATGTATTTTTGTTTTGTTTTTTGCAATCAAATAGAATAAAGGAACCATTAAATATTAAGTTTATGTTTACGCTTTCTGTTGATAATAGAAATAATTGGATTTATATTGCATATATTTAATTATTTTACCCTTTACCATACCAGTGAGTTTTAAAAACTTCATCATCAACTTCATTTACCTTACCACGTGCTCTTCGCAATTTCAATGTTTCATCTGGTATTTCACGATATGTTAGTCCAAGCGGATAGATCTCATATTGACAACATTTTTGTGCGGTTTTTTTTTGCCTGGGAACTACTAGCTTAGCTCTTCAACTGTGGTAACACTTGCAACCCGGATGCCATGATGCGCTAGGCAAAATTATGGTGCATTTCCATTTTTATGCCTCGTTTAGCTTTGGTGTTTGTAAATTTTCTTGTTGTTATTTTTGTGTCTTTCTTTTCTTCTTCTCTGTTGTTTCCTCTAAATTAGGAATCTTATGACCGACTGCAGTTATTTTTGGGCGGTGAGCAATTGATATGGCTGTAAATGGTGAAGTTGTTGCCGGTGCTTACGTTGCACGTGCGAAGACGTAACGGCAATAGGAATAATGCATGAGATACGTTGTTGCACATGTTCCAAACAACGAATGATAATAATCTAAGCCACGTTTCAGGAAGCGAATGGAATAGACGAAATTTGACATAAAGTGACCACTGCGGGCAGCAGGAACAAAACGAAAATCCATTCAAACGGCAACAATACGCCATCAATTGTCATTTTCCTTCAATTAACAAAAATTTTGTCCATTGCTGGTCGAACTATCGACATGTTCGATATGTGACTTTTGAGAGGTTGAGACCGGTCAAACTTTTTTCATTTTCCAAAAGGACAAGTAAAAGTAGCATGAAAAACGAAAACAGAATTGAATTTAATGACAACTTTGTGTAATTAGACTGAAACCACATTAAACCCTAGTGGCGGGACATCCGTGTAACCGATTTTTTCGGTTTATATATATATTAAAAATGGTTTTCACAACTTTCATTATATTGTATTTAATAATGTGTGTGGCCAAGGCTTGAAATGATTTTGGATTCGCAATGTAAAAGCGTTTTATTCATGTTTAGAAACATTGTTGATACAATAAAAAACATTTGTTCAAATCAACATGTTGCTGTAACAATATTTTTGCAGAAATAATCCGTAAATGCTGCGTCTTATTTACGTTGTAAATAATGTATTGGACGTTTGTGTTTGATGAAAATTCAAGTCCCAACATTTACGTCTTACTCCAGCTGCAAAATAGTTAATATCGCTATAAACTACACAATCGTAGCAACATGTTGAAATGAGCTAATGTTCCTCGCTGATGGTGTGGCAACTTTTCGGATTGAATGTATGTTGCGAAAGACAGTTTTTATATATTCGCCTTTTAGAAGTTTTATACTATCAAAATAATAATATTTTGATTATAAAAATTGTGTTGCATTTGGACTAGAAAGACTATAATGTTGGTTTGAAACAAAAAATTGTTTCCATGATTTACATTATTAGGTAACAGGTATACCAAAAGGTGTAGCTATAGTTGTATTTGTCGCAGAGCTGGCTTAACTCCCCGGAATTTTCACCCCACACTGTTCCACATTGCATAATGCGATGCACAGAAATGATTTTCTCATGTGCAACGGAACGTATGAGTAACGTGAAAAAATGGCGTCTCCTTATAAAACAGTTTCATTTAATTGGGTTTTTAGAAAGCAAAATTTTTTAATTTGCTTTTTAAAAGTAGTTTAATCAGTTGCTGAGGGTGCTTCAGTTCAGTTATTTGAGTTGTTAACGTAAGTCCAATTCACATTACTGGGGATTTTAAATTCGTACAACTCTAAATAGTTTGGTCTTGTACTGGAGCAGCGGTCTTCTTAAAATCCATGCATCTCTGCATAAAATGAAAATTGCTCTTTGTAAGAATATTACAAATATCGATTAAAAGTTCAACTTGAGCTTTGTTGTTGCTCGTACCGCAAAAAGGAGGAATAATATAATCTTAGTTATTAGTCCGTCTGTCTGTATGCTTGGCTGGTTTTGCAGTAAAAATTTAAATTTATCTGCTCTTAAAAGAATAACACATTTTTAACAATCCTGACGACATACATAATATAAAATTATAATTTTTTTTCAAATCCAATCTAGTTTTTGTTTGTTGCCATTATTTAACTTTAGCAAATTTAATGTTGTATTTTTTTCTCACAATTTGATTGACATACATTTTCTATTTGTTTATTTAACAATTTTTTTCTCTTATTATGTTTCTAATATATCCTTTTCTTTCGTCTTTTATATAAATCTTTTTATCTTTGTATGTATTTATTCTTTCATATCTCAATCTTTGTTTTTCTATCTTTAATACCTCTCTTAGTCACTTTCAGCAAAATTTGCTTTGTTTTCCTTTGGACTTTGCTTGTTTCACTGTTTTCTTCCAATTGTATCAAACCAATATCAAGGCTATTTATCTCAATACCTATATCTCTATTTTGCTTTATTTATCTATCCGCTTCAAAATATCCGTATAACTCAGACTATGTTAGCTCTCTCACACTGTATCTCTTCTCTCTCTCACATTATGTTTCTTGTCTCTCACACTATATCTCTACTCTCTCTTACACTATATCTTTTCTCTATCTCACACTTAACTCTTGAAAATTTTTCCTGTACCAAAATTGGTTTAAAAGGTACCATTTCTGTAAAAAAGGTCCAAAATTTTTTTGGACCTTTTTATTTTTCGTTCTGTGTTTTTCATAGTGTTATAAATGAACAAAATAAAAATAGTCAATTGATTTTAAAAAATTATTAAATATCCACAATAAAGTTGGGTCGTCAAAAATGTACCACTTTTTAAACATGAGTACCAAACGAAAAAACGAAAAAAAAAGTACCAATTTTGGTACTAAAGTACCATAAGTGGCAACCGTGACTATAACTCTTCTCTCTCTCACACTATATCTCCTCTCTCTCTCACATTATATTCATTCTTTCTCACACTGTAAGAAATACAGTCACGGTTGCCACTTGAAAATTTTTTTCTGTACCAAAATTGGTTTAAAAAGGTACCATTTCTGTAAAAAAAGGTCCAAAATTTTTTTGGACCTTTTTGTTTTCTCGTTCTGTGTTTTTTATAGTGTTATAAATGAACAAAATATAAAATAGTGCAAAGTTGCATTTATAAAAAAAATTAATTGGAAATATCCACAATAAAATTGGGTCGTCAAAAATGTACCAGTTTTTGAAAATGAGTACCAAACGAAAAAAAAAAAAAAAAAAGTACCAATTTTGGTACTAAAGTACCATAAGTGGCAACCGTGAATACAGTCTCTCCTCCCTTTGAATTTTTTCCATTCCACTCTCATTGTTTTTCAGTTTCAGTTCTTCTGTTGCAGTTTTCAATCTATATCCTTTTTTTATGTGGTGATGACTGTTAATTGATCTGCTCTAAGCGTGCCCGTTTTTTTAAGAATCAGGTAACTGGTTTTCTATTTTTCTTTTTGTTTTCGTGCTTCAAAGTTATTGCTCTTTGAGATGGAGTCGTAAAAGGCAACTAAAGTTTATTGGGTAACAATTGACTTTTGATTCACGACATCCCACCAGAGATGAAATATGGGATTGCTGCAGGTGCCCACAATTTTGGTTGTCCGGAATTCTGAAATAACTTCGTAAGGAAATGTCGTGGTGGCTATGGTTAACATCTAAACTTATATAATGAGGAGCATTTATATTTTTGCTCAATGTGAAGTTCCATTTTTGAAGTGATGATGTGAACCAAAGTAGAGGTTTAAAAGGATAATGCTTCACAGCAAGAAGGAAGTTATATGCAAACTTATACCTTTAATTAGTGTCGACGGAATTTTCTAAATGGCTCGTTTATCGGCGCATTATGCTGATAAATGTGTTGATAACACTGAGGTCTTGACCACGTAAAACAACTAGGACTTATGTCTTATTGCTTCTAGCTATTTCTATCTCCCTCTCTCGCTCGCTCGTTCACTCTCTCCATCTCTGTCACGATCTCTCCCCATGTATCTTTCTCTTGTTTTACCCATCTATCCGTCTCATTTATCTATCTTTCTATTGCCCACACAATTTTTTTCTATCTCAGTTATTCTTCTTTATTTTTTCATCCTTTTGGTGATACTCTGTGGCGATGACCGCTAATAGAAGTACATTTTGGCGCCTGTTGTAAATTCATATTGAATAAATAGAGATATGTATACAATGAAAAAATATGTTTTGAAATTCTTTGACAGAGACAGAGACAGAGACAGTATGTGATGGATATTGGCTTTCAAAATACTTTAACCTAAGATTTAAAGAAGCTGAGTGTTTTTATGTTTAATGTGATGCACCCTCAGTTTTATAAAGTACTATACATCCATCCATTGCACTACTAGTATTATAATCGCATAACACCATTCATTAGTTTAGTAGCTGAAACATCACTGAGCTTACGTTAACGTTAATAATTAAGGAGCAAAAGATTTGAATAGTTTCTTATGACAACTATATCGCTTCTATTATTTGTAGCACTTAAGTAAAATTTGCAGTTACTTCGTTTGTTACTGTTAATTAAATAAACAATTGTTCTTTGATTTAAAGTAATTAAGTAAAATAGTTGTACACTTATTATATTTACATACTTTATAAAATTAATTATATTATGTAAAAGTATGTAGGCTTGTTTAATTGAGTTAAGTCTACAATTCCCAACAATATGGATTGATAAAAATACATCTCACCTAAATACATAACCCTAAAAAATAAAACTGAACCTTGTTTGTATTATGTTTATAAAAAAAATTAAATAATATAATAAATTATTTATTTTCTAATTGGTGAATTTTTTTCTATTTTATTTTATTTTTTCGACTTTTTAAACAAAATTGATTGAAATGAAATTCAACAAATTCACCATTGACCACAAAATACCCCGCTACAAAAAAAG